AACATAGATGAGAGTTAACTAAATATGAATTATTTAAATATGCCTACACACCATGCAAATATAATTTAAATAAATATCTGCCTTACTGATCCACACTGCTTATTTATTGAATTATATCAATATTTTTTTTTTGTAAATAGGGTCAAAGACTAAAAAAACTTGAGGCAAGAAAAATCCGGGAAGAAAAGGAAGAAAAAGAAAGAGTCCAGATTGATATTGAAGAAGCTAAGTTTCAAGCTGAAAAACGAAAGGAAGCAATTGAGAAAGCGAAAACTCTGCAATACTACCAAACAGACAGGGTTAAAGGATTTCATGTAAGTATTTGTTATTTATGTACCTGTAGTGCCTTTTCTAGTTTTACTATTAGACAATAAAGTTGCCTTGCTTTTTGTATCTCTTATTCTTTTATTTGTAAATTTATGATTTTTAAAAAATAATTTAAAATAGCTTAGATCAGGATTTTTTTTTTGATTGTAATGATATTCACATAAGACCGTGTCCTCCTTGACTTAAGCACTCATTGGTTGAAAGGTGCAATACCCACATCTGTTCTAGGATCAGTTCACGATTATTCAAAAATGTGGTAAATTAATTCAGTTCACGTTGACAACTCATTTCTCCTTCCAAAGCAGCATTGTTGTATATAGTACATGTAAGTTTACTTACCTCTTATTTTTCTTCCAGGGTGCATTGTTGTTAACAGAAGTCTTAAAGGAAAGAGAAGCACAAATTGAACTTCAGAAAGCAAAGGAAGAACATTTAAAAAATAAAGATAAGCATCTTCTAGAAAAATATCAGAGAGATTTGGAGGCAGGTATCCTGGAAGACCATAACAAGGCATTAAAAGCTCTCACTGCACAAAGAGAAGTCTCAGAATTCCAGAAACGACAGTAAGTTCAATAGTATGAAAGCGAGTGTAAAATACAGTAATTTGCTGCAAAGCAGAGATTATTTTTCATTATTTATTTAATAAATCCAAATTTCCATTATTGAATAGAATTCTGAAAGGGAAGTTTACCACTTTAAAATCATATAAGGACTGTTTTCCGTATACCCAGTTAATAACCCATTTGTGAAATTACAAATTCTTGTGCTCACTTTTGATATGTATTTCAACCAGACTTGTGATGATGTTGCATATGAATCAGTTCATCCAAATTCAGCATTTTTAAAATGAGTTGTTTGTTTTGTAAACCAGTTCGAAATTATGGTTGAGAGGAGTTAACAGAAGACTCACCATTTGAGGGCATAAAGAATATCAGATAGATATCCCACTATGAATATTCATGCAATTTCTGTTTATTAGGCCCCATAAAAACTTTATCATTATAATGCACCTAAAAAGTAATGATGGAGGAATACTTTTTAAAAAGAATTTCAATCAGACTAAATTGAGTTAATAGAGTTAATTCCATTGAATTTTTGGTGGCAACTGTGTAGCACTTTTTTCTAAACATATTTATTTAAACTTTCAACACAATTTTTATTCTTAAAGGATCCAAGAACACATCAAAGTAGAAACAGATGCAAAGATGAAAGACATTAAAGAAGGACAGGAATTGAAACACCAGCTGGAGGTTTATAATGCAGAAAAGGCAAGAATAGAGGACATACGACGTGCTGAAAAATTAGATCTCATGAGGGCACATAAACAAACAGTGAGCGACAGAGACCTAATTCGAGCTGCTGAACGACAGAAAGAAGAGGAAGAAGAAGATGAGATACGCATCTTTGCCAAAGCCAAAAAGAAGATGACACAACTGAGGAAAGAAAGAGAACAAGAGTTATGGCAGTAAGTAATATTTGATTTAAATTTTTGATCTGTATAACTGTTAAAATATATAGGCCTATCCATAGTGGACTTTTGTTTGCAACAGCTGTTAGCAACAGACCCAATGTTGACATTTTTTGTCTTTGCTTTTATACATAAGTATAATACAGTAAACTACTACTATTTTTCTTTCAGGAAAAAACAAGACCATCTGTATTCTATGGTTGAAAAGTTGGACAGTCAACTCAAGCAGGCTAAAGACGATGAAGATGACCGCATTGCACGTGCAGTTGCTGAGAAAGAGGCTAAAATTCAGAAGGAAACTCAAGAGAAAGAGAAAGCATTTGCAGAAACACTGACGGAAACTGCGAAACATCGCGCAGAGCAAATGAAACGAATGCAAGATGAGAAGCGTGCCGAGCGTAAAAAGGAGTTTGAAGCTCTGAGGCTAAAAGAAGAGGCTGACGCTCTGTTCTTCGCCAAACAGATTGAGAAAGAAAATAAACGAAAAGAAGCAATGAAAGCGCTGCAAAAGGTGCATGTACAGCAGGTAGAAGAGTGCCAAGCTATTGAGAAGGCAAACCGCAAGGAACAGCTTGCCATGGATCAAAAGAATCTTGATCTCTTAGCTGTTGAAGAGCAACAATTCCAGGAATATGCTACTAAAGTTATTGATCACTGCAAGAAGGGTGGCCGCAATGTGTACCCTCTGGTTAAAGCAGCTCGTGAGGGCCATGGTGGAGGCCAAGGACCTGTGTTTGAAGGAAAAGGTGGAATCCGGCCTAGCTACCTGGTTCAGGACAAAAGTGCAGTTGAGCTGCCTCATTATCAGAAAGGAAGTACAGAAGAGATCAAATCGCTTCATGTAGGCCAGTCTGCCAACACACGCAACAGGCTAGGATTTGTATGGTGATTAAATGGAAAATCATATTTCTTCAAAATACTGTTGGGTTTATTCTGAAGTTCCGTGTAATTTAAATTCCAGGTTTAAGATTCTTCCAAAGAGAAAAATTGACACTAAAACAAAGACTTTATCGTGTATTATAATGATTTATTTTATCATTTAAATATAATTAATAATTTCATTAAAAATTATCAACATTGTACATAGTTGAATTGTATGATATTCATGAAAAATAAATATATAATTATAGCATCTAGTTTTTTTTATATCATTTTAGCAACATTTAAAACTGAAGTTTGCATTTCAAATTCAGAACTATTTTCCAAATTCAATTGGTGGTAATGGTACACAGGAACAGGATGCGGTGACAGGAAAGAAATTATAACCAATTATAAACTACAACAGCATCTCCATTGAACACGACTACTGGTATGTGACAGAGGGTACAAAAATGAATAGGTTCAGTTTTTTTTACTGTGGTCACATTACACTACAGCGCCCAGTGCATGTTTATTATTTTTATGACCCAAAGACTGCCCAACGATCAATCGCATCATACAATGCTTTATAGGGACTGCGGTTTAGTAGTCACTGGAAAGACTCAAGTTGGAGCCCTAAAATTGGAAAAGCATTTAAATCCCCTAGTTATTCTAATCTATTTCTTGAGGTTTAAACTGTTTTCTTGAACTTGAACATTAATTCGTACATATAAAGCGTATCATCCATGATGTAGCTGAAAAAAGAATGAGAGGTCATTGATTAAAGGTCAAGGTCACTCACCTTTTTAGTTTGCATATTACACTCTTCAATCTAAAAGATTTCTTTATTGTCCACTACATTAATAATGATTGTGGTAGAAAAATTTATTTTATTTTTTTGCTATATAAACTACTAAAAACATACTCATTATAAAATATATTTCAAGGAAATTATATTATAGATTTAATCTCAGCCCTGAGGGATAATTATACATGTTTAATTAATACAGAGAACAACTAAGAATGTGGATATGTTGTATAAAATAATTGAATATTTTATAGAGGCTGTATCTATGGTGCTTCCTATAAAAAATAGTTTTAGCAATAGCTGTTTTGCTGTTTTTGTGTTATTAGACAAGTGTCATCACAGCCACATCTACTCAAAAATTTACAAGTGGAGCACTACTAGTGTTCAGACTTTCTTCTAGCCTACTCCTACCTCATAAGCATATATTATTTTTTTATAACCATCCTCAAACACTAACTGCTTACCTGTACCAGAAGCACACTAAAGGTACTGTAGCACCGTGCCAGATTGAATGTGCATCAAATATCCAGCCGACTGGTGCAAAATCTCCTAGTTCAAGAAGCAGCAGCAGACTGGTGCCTAGCACAGTCACGATGGCCTTCCACACATAAGGCTGATTCCTAATGTTTTGTATGCCCCACAAAACAATCCATACAGTGTTAACGGCACCTTTAAAGATAGAAAAAAAGATTTGAAATATCTACAGTATACGACTAAGAAGAGGTGACCCTGCAAGAAGGCATGAATAACAGATTTGATTTTATCATCATACATGGTAAGGTACATGTAAGAAATACATATTATGTCTTGAGTTGTAAATAAAGAACAAATCGCACCATAAAATCATGGTCAGCGAAAGTGGTACAGAGGGTCAGACGGCCGTAAGACCAATATTTTGCCAAGATAAATATTATATTGATATAATACTTTTCAAAAAAATTAAAAATTTCTACTTTTTACAGTACTTATCAGGGACACAGTTTGATAAATTATTAATATTATTATTGAGTGTCCTGTGTTAAAACACTATAAACGTGTGCATCAAACTGCAAAGTTGGGCTGTTGCTGACAAGCTAGCTGGCTAGTAAATGTCACTGATTGACATTAATATTAAAGTACTAGCCACATTACTGCAGAGAAATTGCAGCCAAAATTTATTCCAAAATGTTGATAAGTCAAATAGCCTATTTGTTTGTAAGTCTGAAATTTCGGGTGCGATAATATTTGATTTCTAAAAAAAATGCCAAACTAAATGCTTGATGTGTTTAAATTTAAATTTTTCATTGTCAAATTATGATACTTTTGAGAGTGCTTTACGAGCCTCTAGTTCAACTTAAGCCCCAACCATGGTGGGGCTCAGGTTGGTGAGGACTCTCCTGCCTGACCAACACCTGAATGCTTCTGCCGCCCCTGAAAATGAATTTAAAAATGCACTTAAAAAAAACAGAATTGTTCTATAATGAACTAGAAAGAAATGATAAAATAATTCTGCATTATACATACCTATTGCAACGTTCACTTTCATGTTGTAGCCATAGTCAAACTTGATGAAAGCTAGATACCACACATGTATAAAAAACAAAGTAGATAGCACACCAATGCACAGACATGTGATGCCAACATGAAAAGTGCCTCCATGCCATCCAACAACCCTGATAAATACACAATGAAAATCCAGCTTGAAAATGTACTACAATGAACAGATTCTTCGATGTGGAGAACAATTTCATGCAAAATTATAAAGGATAACCACAAGGAATAAACCACATTGAAAATCCAGGTTGAAAATGTATTACAATGAACAGATTCTTTAATGTGGAGAACAATTTAGTCATGCAAAATTATAAAGGATAAACCACAAGGAATGGAAATAGATAATTTTGGATGAGATGTTGGGTGGGGGTTGTGGACATGGAAGCAGAAAAATGGAGGAATATAGTGAATTAAAAGAGAAGAATAAAAGATTGCACTCACCGTATACAATGGGTTAAAAGACTAGCAAGTACTAGTGAGGTTGCACAGAAATAATCCATTCTCTGAAATAAAAAAAAAAACACCCACAAAAGTAGAAAACGTGTCTGACCTGTACAGGATAACTGAATTGATTGTAATGTTAAATAATAAACAAAATTTACATATTTTTTCCAGCCTGATTTCATCTTCTAACATGAATTAGGCCTAAAAAAAATTGTTTGTTTGCCATTCTTTTTTTTTAAATGATAAAAAAGAGCAGGTGGAAAAAGTTTTTTTTTTTTTTTTAAATACTCATCAGATAGAATAAAAATAACCGACAGAGGCTAAGAATGACAATATCTTACATCAGACAGCAACTTTAGACAAATTTGTAGGGCATCTGGCAAAAAATAAAGATAAATTCACTCACATTTTTTTTAATTTGTAAAGAAAAAAAGCTAAAAAAACCCTTTTTTAAAGTTTTATTCGTTTGTTATCGTTATTTTTTTCAGTGAGTTAGGGGCGGGTTGAGGAGGGCAAACAAACATTTATTTTTGGCCTTATCATTCTAAATATTATTTTAAAGTATTTTTCCATTGACTTTTTTAAATCATAAATATTTTTATGTATCTGTACCACCTTGAATAATGTTTAGTCAGGAGAGAGAGCTGGCAAAAATAAGGTGAAATTAGGTGATTTTAAACTACTTGAATGCATTTTTGCTCAGGGAATTGGGGGTGCAGGGTTTTTCAGGGGGGACTTGCACACCATTCTTCCCCATAAATATGCGACTGGCACTAAAGATGGTATCTTACCTCAGTCCAAATGAAATCTCGTGTATGGAACACTGTAGACCAAACCCAGGCATTTATACATATCTAAAAAATAAATCAGAAATTGTACTTGAACAAAGTCAATAAAACTTCACATGCAATTAAGTTAAAAGAGGGCCTACAATTCAATACAACATTTTTATTTACCATTTCATGTCTGAATACAATATACCCAATTCAGATAGTATTATTATATTTTAATTTTTCATCTTATATTTAAAGTGTGTATTAACTAACCCATGAAGGACAGAAGGGTCCAAGCCAAGGGGCCAACAAAGCCTCGGTCAACAGCCTGGAATAAAGGCTTCCTTGTAGGATTCACTGAGAGAGTTTTCATGGCTTAGTTTGGTCCAAAATGTGCTTTTAGACCACAATGTTCGGGATTGGCAGTCAAAACAACGTTACTTAGATAAGCAAATAATTTTTTTTAAATTTTTGATCCAACGGCCTTTTCGTGCGTCGGATGACAGGGGGTCCATGCCAGTCCGACAGAGAGGGAAATTCCCCCTGCCCCCCACTTCTGGCACCCAATGGATTGTAGAGAATGGTGGAAGAAGTGAGAAGTAAACAGGAGTTCACTACATTCTACAAATTCTCCACTTTCCACAAATTTGGTCAAATTTAGTTTAAGTGCCTTTTAAGGAGAAGGGGCCTTGAAGGCATTTGCAACATATAACACTTGCCAAGTTACATCAGATTACATAATACAAATTTATTGATATTGAAATTTGTAGGCTTACAAGTTTCATGAGCAATTCAGAATTACGATTAAAGAAAAATAGGCAGATAAAATGTTTAATATTAACATAAACTGAGTATCAAATTCAAAGATGAAAAATACACACCAAAGAATAAGCTTGCCACACAATATACATTGGTGCTTCACTTGGGACCTTTGACCTAAATTTCAGCCAGAAATAAAGATGTAAGGCACCATGACAAATGGAAAAGACGACGGAAGCTACTTCTTGTATTCCAAATATCCGCAGAAAAGGCCACTATGCAAAGAAACACAAATGTTACAGTAAGAATGTGAAATATTGACTATTTAATTATTTTTGATCTGTGTTTATGAATGTTTTTGTTTTGCTATAAGTATTTTGTTAAAGAGGGATTACAGAGATAAGCAAACTGAAGTTTCGTTATGCAGTCTCAAGACCAAATTGCTTTCTACTTATACCATTGTTAATTTGATTTTGTTCTTTTGTTTAAATTCAGTAGTTTAATTTAGTCAATAAATGTATTTTTAAATTAAATTGAGAATGTGCGAATATTGTGATGCATACGCAAGATTCAAAAATGCCCCACCAGACTGGGCTCCTATAACTTTTAAAAAACTAAAAAACAAGTTGGGAAAAGAAAATTACATTTAAATTTCTATTCTGGAGAATGTCATTTCCAGCCATCTAGAAGTGCCATTGACATAAAATATTGTTTTGTACCTCAGCCCCAACCATTGTGGGGTGAGAATGTCCACTTGTAAAACTGACTTTTTTTCCCCCTTTATTTCAATTCTTGGATCCACCACTGAGATAAAATGGAAAATAATATTGTCCACGATAATTATTTTAAAAAATAGATAATACTTTAGTTGATATAATATTATGACTTCTTATAACGTATCCATCTCAGAGAGTTGCTTGCAATTGCAGCGCCATAATAATAATGTTAGGAGTGAATTACTGGTAACAATAATGGGAGGGGTGAATTAATGGTAACAATTGTAAATATCATTGTAAGTTATAATACATCAAAATAGCTTCCAAACCTTGCCATGGAACTGTGGACAAGGCAACGGAATGCTATGATAATATTCAACTGTGTTCCACATACATTCATAGCCACATTCATCCTCACAGTCCCACAAAAGCGCCCTCAAGTACCATGGCCTGCCTGCATCAAATTCCTGCAGGTCTGTTTTAGTAGAACAGTTTGCATAGAAGCATGATTGTAAACATCTTTGGTAAACAGGATGACGGTCTCCATGTGAGCACTGGACGAATTTTATTGCAGAAAAAACCAGGTAAATGGTCAAAATTGTAATAATTTGACTGGGAACAGCCGCCATCTAGAAATAAACCAAAAAGAGCATTTAACTTTCATAGTCAATTTGAGTTATTGTAATTCTGATGGGGCAAGACAAAATGGAGAGAGGATGCAGTAAACAACTTAACAGTGAATCGTTACTTTGCTTTCATGAAGGAAGGAAGCAGCTCCAACGGAGCTCATACTAGTTTCCTTGTTTACTTTTCAGTGTAGTGAGGGTGAGTCAAAGGCAAGGCAGAGTTTGGTTCAATCCATTTACCTAATTTAATAAATGTAGGCCTATGCATCTAAATTAATTTATATTGGGAAAGCATTATTTTAATTTTTCCAATTATGGTGAATGAAACTGAGTATAAATGGCATGGTAAGGTACTGTGTTCATACCTTTTCCAGACCTTGCCACAAACAGTAAGTGGTACTACTAGTAAGTACTCCTTTAAATAATTAAAAATAAGTAAAATATTACCAAACCTGCTTTACTTCTTAAATTCAAATGAACTACATTGGAATTTTCAGTGCCAGAGTACTTTTTATCAATATCAGTTGTGTACCACCTACCACCACCACCACCATCAAATAAATATTTTATCATCATTGTGTGGTAAACACTGGTATTCAACGAAAGTTAACATGGAAATAATATACAAAGAATCACCAAATACAAACCATAGCATTCAACTCATTTAGACATCTGCAGACAAAGTTTACTCAAATAATTATTTAGTAAACAAGTCAGACAATTTCACCGCCCCTTTAGGTTGGTTAAACAGAATAAATTTTCACAATTTCCACGGTCCGACACGAATCTTGTACAGTAATAATAGTATCTCATTTTTCGTTGTCGTGAACAGAATGTCGAAGGTCATTTAAAGGTGGAGAGTGTGAAATCGACAAAGCGTGTAGCGTGTAATTTTTGTTGCTCTTACTGCCCTGCTAAAATAAGGTTTTCTAAGAATTTCTTTGTTATTTCAAATGCCTTAGCATTTTTAGGTAAACTAGATAACTTTTCGTTTGCATTAATATACAACATGCCACTTCAAATTTGATTTAAGCTAGCCTAGTTTTGATGGTGCCGAGAGCCCCGCCTGCATTGTTGGCAGTGCGAGCTGGTGGAAGGGAGTGGCGGTAGGCTGGGCCTAGTTATTCCAGGCTACCAGTCCAGGCGATGACGGCTAGGCAAGCCTGTAATGTAGACCCCTAAAAAATTTAAGTACGCTAGATTTGGTTCGCTTCGGTTCATTACCCCTTCGGTTTGGGTCGTTTCAGACTCATTTTTAATTTAACTAAAATAATAAGTTTGTAGGCCTAGGCCTACATCTCCCTGGGCCTACTGATTGTCACTGTCAGATTGAAATGCTTATTTTTATTAATTAAAAATGTTCCATACTCATTCAGTTTTCAAATAGCGTATATTTATACATTTACGAGTACTAACTCCCTGCCTCCTTACAATCACTAAGGTAAGAATTCTCAAATAAGATGATCCGTGTAAAAAATGACCCCCCGACGATTTAGACGATTTTTTTTATGGTGGGGCGCCAGGCTGTAATAGTGAGTCCTGCACAGGAAATATATTCTTGGCGCAAAAATTTGCCCTAAAAAAGTCTATTCACGAAAATTAGACTTTGAACTAATCTTAATAATCATATAAAGATAATAATGTATTATGCAGTAATTACAATTCTAAGCACCTATTTTCCTAGTTATATTCTGCTTAAATTTGAGCTGGTTTTTGACGTATCATCCGCGCAATTAAAAAACTTTACAGTATAGGTCGGGTGTACAAGACAACTCCCCTGTTTTATCGTCGCAATTTCTAATTTTTCCTACTCTTTATGGTCTTCATACTGCATCTAGCTGGTTAAAAATGCAGCCAAATTTAGGACTGATTTTCCAAATTTATCATTTTCATGGGCTTTTAAATGTTCATAAAAGTCTTTTTCCCATATTTAAAATGTTTTTATTCATACTAAGAGCTTGGCTACTCGAACAGCCCTCATATTGAGAGTTAGGCGGATTAAGGACGATGTTTTGTATTCGTATGTGTCCCTTATATGTTGTAGTTAAGTCAAGTGGCACTGCAGTGCTTCTGCCGCAGGTACCCAGGGACAAATTTCCGATTTCCAATTAAATGAGGACCAATAAAGACATTTTATAATAATAATAATTATTATTATTATTAATGCAATTACATAAACATTTTTATAAAATTGAAATGTCTGTTTATTTAATAATTTTAAACTGGAATTCATATTCTTATGTAAAAGTAATGTTAAATATATTTTTTATATATTCTTGCTTTTCCTATGCATAGAATTAATAAGACCCTTATTTCTTTTACAGCTACATTACATTATTAAATAAAATGTTTTTTAATTAATAATTTAGCTTTCTAAATTAAAAGATATTCGACATAACCTTGAAACTTGGTAAATGGCCAAAACAAGTGGATTCCATATTACTAAGTTAGGTCTTAGGTGTAATGATGAGGTTTTATATTGTATAATTTTCCATTTTTTTTAAATGTTGACTTTGAAGTATCACTCGAGGATAGTTGATCCCATAGGGTGGAATTGTTTTTGGTCAGGCAAGACTTTTGGATACTTTTGCAAACTTTTATTTTTTAAAGATTGGAGGAGGAGGAGGACGGAAAATTAATAAATATAAAATTTTGTTTTTTTTATTTAGCAAATTTTGTGTGCCAAAATCATCCAGACAGAGGAGAAAATAAAAGAGATTTGTGGCAGTGGATGCAATAAAATTGGCCAAAAATAAAGTTTCATTTTTATTCAAAATCATCATTATTGGCGGGCTGTGGGTTTACTAAATAAGGCTTAAATAAAGTCTCTCTCTTAGTCCTATCACCCTGTTATGATTGTTTGAGTTCATTTAAATTCACTGATTTTTCTTCAGCATTATGAAGTTACTGCTATTTATATCCATGGGTTTGCTCATGCTCACCATCGCTAGTGCTGTTCAGAAGCAAGCTGAGGTGGAGGATAATGAATTTGCTGAGTTTGAAGAGCTTGATGAAGATGATGAGGATGCCACAGTTGAGGAGGAAGGGGAGGATGCAGCCTTTGAGGAATTCAATGAGGAAGAGGAGACAAATGAGCAAGCTGTTCAAGAGGATACAGAATTCCAAACTAGAGACAACATCGAGGTGAAGTTTTCTTTTTGGCCTATTAGAATGTTCAAGTTCTTTTTGTTCTTTAATTATTTTATTATATTTATTTCTACAGTAGGTATTGTTTTTTTGGTATTTTTTGTAAATTTTTGAGTTTTTGCTTCGTGTTAAAAAAAATAGCCTACCATAATTATAAAAAATAAAAGTATGGTGATGATTTATTTAAAGACCTGAGATGTCTTCTTGTAATATTACCAATAAATGTTTCATAATTCTGTTTGATCTCCTTTTATTCAGGATGAAGAATTTGATGAAGATGAGTTTGAAAACATTGACCAACCATTAAAAGGTGCAATGAAAGATGAAGGCCTGAAAATTAAAGAGGTAAATTGGAAAGACTACCCATCATCATGTAACAGACCAGGCCTTTAAAATGCATCATTACTGTCATTATGTAACAAAATAAACATTGTAAATAATGATGATGATGATGATGATAATCATCGTCATAGTTATTATGGCTACATGGGGATGTGGATGATGGCAACAGCGGTGGTAGGGGCAACTGTATCGTGATGTTCATGGTGCAGTGATTCAACAGTTAACTACAACTTTTAAAAAAGTATTACCTGTAATGAAAATTTGAATGTAGCTTGAATTGTTTAGACATAAGCTTTGTCCATTACTAATATTTAATTATTTTATTTTATCAAATTTAGAGCTATATAAATCCCCAAAATATTATAATTATTATTTTTATATTGTCTTTGACAAAATATCTGTATTATAGTCACGGTGTGCCTATATATGGTGATGATGTGATGTCATCATGACCATATTTAGGCATGTGACATGTTTTCATTGGATAGTCTTGACTGGGCAATAGTTATAGAAATACTTTATTGCCGCATGATTGAAATGCGAGACTCGGATCCTTTCGAAAGTTTCATTTCGTCGGATTACACCTTTCTTTCACAGCATCAGATTCCTCGGGATGCTTGTTCACTTGTCAATTCATTCATTTATCGTTGAGACTTTTTTTTTATCTATTGTGCAGGTACCACTTCACTTCCGGACTAATTGGGATAGTTACTACCTGGAATTTATAATGATTGCTGGAGTGTTGTCTTATGTTTTAAACTATCTTACGGGTAAAAGTAAAAACAATAAACTGGCAACGGCATGGTGAGTAGCATATTAAATAGGTTTTTTTTTTAATGATTTGTAAAATAGAATTTACAGCATAAACAATAACTAAGCCTCCACCACAAAGAAGGCTCTGTTGAACCTTGTGTTTAATTGATGTAATTGCAAAATTACAAAGAATCACATGATAATAATAATTATTTTATCCTAATGTTTGAGATTAGGGGAACTTAATTACTTTTATTTGTAGTAGGGATCCTGTTCAGTAGCTACAATAGTTACTGTTCTCCCACTGGTCTCGGTATACTTTATAAATAAGTCTTAATATGAGAATTATGGAGTGGAGCTGTTTTGAGTTATGTGAACAAAATCCTGTTGTCTGACCATAATTTAATTCTAAGATCCTGGGATTATCATTATTACCTGGCAGGCTACAACTCCACTAAAGGTACATTCAACAACTTGAAATATTCATAATGTAAAAGATATGTCAAATATAATATCTGAACAGGTTCAAGGTACATAGAGAAATACTCGATAAAAACTTTTCAATCGTTGGAGATGATGGCAGCGGAGAGACGGAGCAGAATGGTATCTTGATGAAGGATAGCGAAAATAGATATCTGATCTGGTGCTCAGGACGTATCTACTGTGAAGGCATGCTGGTTGAGCTCAAAGTAAGTTGTTTTCACTGTAATCTTGCTGAAAACGTTGTGGTTGAATCATATTTTAAGATTTTATTGTTAGTTGAGAAATACCAATCTAGCTGTAACAGTTATCTGTAATCACAATTTTATACTTGACAAAGGTAGACAAAATATCAATTCAGTAATAGTTATAGTAGTGATAACAGTGATATTTTGTTGTATTTTATTTTATTTCTCAATTAATGTTTGGAAGGGTGCCAACAAGTTTTAAATACTTACACAATGACCTATTGATAATCATGTTATTGTTTTACAATAGTTATTAAAGAGGCAAGACTTAGTAAGTGTTATGGCAAAGATGATGAGACCAACTCCTGATGAAGTCGTAAGTCCATTTTTTATTTATTTCTTGTTTAAAAGATCAAATAAATTATCAACTACTTGTTTTACCAACAAAAATCCATAAATTGATTACCAGCCAATTTAAGCATTACAGTATCATTTATACATTGCACTGACAAGCAACTTTTTAAAATTCCATTTTTATTGAGAATCAATAACTTACTTCAGATACTAAAAAGTAAGCAATTGAATATGTAATTAATTGTTAAAGTTTGTTGTTTATCATAGATTTTAAAGAATAAAATTTGCCAGACATTTGAACACAAGAACTACTTAAAAATAGAACTCGTGCTATGTTTGACTGACTAGAAGGATGCTAGCATAATGCCAACAAAAATACATCATAGATTAATCCATACAAAGAAATGCATAAGTCATGTTATGTAATCAATATAAAATTGGATTTTAATATACAACTGATAAAACTTATAAACCTAGAATTGTACATGGTTAAACATATTACTGTAAGAATAATTACAAAAATGTGTGAAATAACCTATGTTAAAATATCCATAGTGTGTATTCTTTTAGATTTATCTAATTTTCCTGTGCTTTTTCAATTTTATTTTCTCAGCGAATAACAGTAACAATGAACAAAGACGATATGGATACATTTGTACTTTTCATAGGCAACAAAAAAATTGCCTCCAAAATGGGCAAAGAGATGAATGATCTGGTAGGCTATAACATTACTTACATTATAGTATAGTTTATATGTATTTATTTATGTACTGAATAAAATATACTTATAATATGTTGAAGAAAAACTGAATAGAGATTATACTGACCATAACTAAAGCTCTTTTCACACCACCAAATCGTTTGTGCAGGTAATTGAGATTTGCCCATATATAGACATGATGATGTCATATCTCACCCATATATAGACATGATGATGTAATATCTCACCCATATATAGGCATATACAGGCTTTGTAACAGTGTTAATGTAAAGCGCACCAATAGGTTACAAATGCTGCTGGAAACACCATTCTACATATCCTCAGTTGCTAAATAGGCTTGAAGGAATAAAAGGTGTAGCCACATATAGCCTGCTATAGAACAATACAAGAAGTGACCGCACAGTCTCCTGATGAAATCCACTGTGTGGACGATAGCTAGAACTAATAAATATTATAGTATTTGAAGTGCTGTATTAGGCATTAAAGAGAATGTTGAAGAAGTGACTGCACAGTCTCCTGATGAAATCCACTGTGTGAATGAAATCTAGAACTAATAAATATTATAGTATTTGAAGTGCTGTATTAGGCATTAAAGAGAATGTTGAAGTAGATTATGGAGGGACGTGTTATTGTTAAACAATTCGCCATCCACTAGGTGAGGACAACTGTTAGAAGTACCGTACCACATATCCTCAATTCGTTGCTCATGTAAACAGTTGTATGGTGTTCCTACCTTGGATATGAAATTCAGAAAATCTCAAAATCTAATGTCAGGAATAATGTTTTGCAACCATGACTAACCGCAGCTTTTTTGTCCTTTTCACCACTAGTACAATTTTTGCCCAGAAAGACGTAGTGGGGAGAAGTATGGTCTTGGAGCATCGTTGACTGTGATGGCAGAAATGGCAGATCTAGCTCAAGGATTAATAGATAGTAGGGTAAGAAACATTTGATGCTTCACATAACCATTGCTTACATTTCAGTGAAAGCAGTTGAAAATATTATTAAAAATGACAACAATGTTAATCAGACATCAAATATTAATTATTGAATTTTTAATTTGAAAGTTTTTATTGTCACTCTTGCCATAATCACTCTTGATTATGGTGTTTGGAGAAATCTAGTGGTCACCTGTTCCTGAATGCATGATGATGTTTATATTATTTATTTAAATCATTTTTTTTTCCCAGATTACAAATTGTTTGAATGCATATCCTGAAATGTTTGATTACTTGCATTTTTCTGATCAGTACTCTGGGCCAAAGCCTTCCACAGAGTAAGTACTTGGTAAACTTATCTACTAGGCATTGTTTTTTTCTAGGGTTGTACCATTTTATTTTCTATACTGTTAATTTCTTTATAGTTTATCAAGTTTTAAGTAATAAATGCGGATAATTAGCTTTGTGGGAGTGATGGGTTTGATATGACATTACCATATCCATTTGTGTGATGGTATTATGACATTGATGTGTATAATATAACATCATCTTGCCTATATATGTAGAAAGTACTGAAAATGTGATAGTGTGTACAATGCAATGGCTTGATATAGTCTCAATATACAGTCTCTGCTGTCTGTCAAATTGCTGTCTGTGTGTATTTAAGTTTTTAGCTTTTAAAAGAAAAACAATTTTGCTCACCAGTTAACAAACACAGGAATGCCCTGGTCCTAATTACTTGCATGATTCATAAATTGGCTGCCATTAATTTCAGGGTATTCAGAGAACGTTGGTAAATCAGCAAAAAAATTAGGTGGCACTAAAATTATAATGAAATTAATAGGTATCTAATTTAAAATTGTTGATTAGTGTAACTTAATTTTTTTTTATTTCTTGTTATTCAGAGATGAACAGCCTACCAAGATGCCAACGACTACCAAAGTACTTATATTTAATTTTAGAAGTAAGTCTGTTTTTTAATTTTCTGTTGGGAGGGGGTGGAGGTGTAAATATATGTTGCTTTTCTCTGATTGGGTTTTGAAGACCATGAATCCAAAATGTTCAGAAGTTAATTGAAGTTACTGTTGTGGTAGCCGTCTTCCTCAGAAGACACAAGGCCGTCATTGACGGGATCCGTTGACCGAATAGCTGCTATTGTTTAATAGAGTTCAAAGATTTACCAATATGTTACACAAATGGATTCAGTTACTTTTTTAATTTTTTTTTTTATATTTTTATTTTCTTTAAAAATTTTTTTTATTGATTTATTGTTTTAAATGTTGATTGGACAAATTGAAATTACTAAGAATATAATGTCATGATTAAGGATGTAGAGATCTTGTTGTTGCAATTACATACACTTGTGGCCTGTTTTGTCTAAATAGTTTGAAAATTTAATTGAAAAAGATAGATGTTTATTTGTCTACATGTTTTTTTTTTTTTAGTTCCAGGGATGGGAAAATCTTCTACCAAGGATGTAGAGGCAATGGTGCCAATGTTAAAGATGGTGATATATTGTATAGATAAAGTCAAGCGATACCGTCTTAGCAGGGAGGTATGCTCAAATGATCAATTACAGTTTGTTTAAAACAGGTTTTTATTAATTGTTGTATTTTAATGATTTCTTGAAGTTTTAGTGTGTGTGGTTTTCCACTCATTATCAAGGCAAAATACTTTTTTCTGGTGTACACTATACTATATGTATTAACCTGTAAATTGATTTGCTCATTTAGGGAAAAATTAAAGCAGATAAAGCTCGTGCAAAAGTTGCAGAATCATTTGAGAAGCTTTCTCATGCTCAACGGCAGGAAGCAGCCCAGCTGAGGCGTGAGGACAAACGACGTCAAGAAAAGGAACGTCTGATGAACGAAGATGATCCGGAAAAAGCTCGGAAAATTGAAGTGAGTTATTTTGATAATTTCAAATCATCTTATTTTTTGCATGGGACCCTAACAATAATGAAAGACAAGCAGAAGCCTGTTTCTTTCTTAGTATACACTCATTTATTATTATTTGATTATTAAGATAACAATTTTTTAATACACACTCATTTATTATTATTTGATTATTACGATAGTAACAGAATTGTTTATTTTAATTACAGGATAAACAGTACAAACAAGACATGAAACGTCGCCTTGGTGCTAGACAAAAACAAGTGAAGATTCGCTAAGCTTATTGCCGTTTTATATGCATTACTTAAATGTAAATTCAATTGAATGAGTGGGTGTTGTTTGGCAGAAACCCAACAGCAACAATCAAACTAATTTAACTACTATTAATTTTAATGAAACATGCATCCTCAAATTAATTTCACTATTGTGGACCTGTGAGCAGGCAAAAATCTTCCAGAAATTAATCCATCTCCCAAAAATATTTGATGTATGTTTTTACCACTGTATTATGTATTATGCAATATTTGGTGTAAATAAAATTTATACATAATTTAGTACAGTACTGTACTTAAAGTCAGTGGTCCATCAAGATATAATAAGACATAGACTGTTGCTGTAAACTTGGAGAAGAATGCAAATTATTACCATTACATTGTAATAAAGAAGCTATGGACTGCTGCATCCAGTAATCAAGCATTTGACTTTGAAAAATTAACTAAACAAATCTAGCAATGGTTGTTCCAAGACCAGTAACTTTACTCAGGGGCTAGGACTAAAACAGGATCTTCTGATGTTCACAACTCTTGTTTTTAAATAATTATTTGGGCCCATGGGCCAAGGATTGCCAATAGCAAATGTATCGCTATAGTACTTATATAGATGGCAATCCCTTTCACAAGAAAACATACATATATACATACACAAGATGCACGAGTTTAATTAGGCTCTGTTGTGGCCGCCAGATCGAAGAGCAACAACATTTTCTAAGTTTCAATACTAAATGTCCCATTTTTTTAAACCAAATATATTTACAGATTTGAATACATGTTTTTCTAGCGAATTATACTTGTTCCAATTTGAACATCAATTTCCACATGTGAACTAAAAAACTTCATAAACTAAATTCTATGACTCATCAAATACAATGTTATTACATAATTAATCATTTTCAGTAAAGCATAATTCTTTGAAAAAGAATACTTAACACAAAAATATTCCCCAAACAAAAAAACTTCACATAATGCACGTCGAACGTCAAGCCAAAAACAAAATTAATATAGCCTATCATTAACAGGTCCGATCATAAAGCATGTTTGGAATATGAATAAGCATAATATTCTGAGGTTAAATTGATATTTCTTAACCTTTAACACACACATATGCGCAAGTAGAGCAGTTCTTGGTGGTTAGACACCATACTTGCCTTCCCAGAATGTCGGGTTCAAAGCTTCGTACAAACCACCAAATTTTTTTAAAACTTGAAAAACAACTCTAGTTTGGCTCGAGTAATAAACACAATATTAATTATTAATATTTCAAGAGGCTAAGGGTAATTAATATTATTATGGGACCTAAAATAAATGGGATTAATAATTGGTTAGCCATTCGATGAATTGTGAAAACCAAGAAAACGGGAAAAGACGCAGTAAATAAATTATCTTTGAATTTTAGCTAGTGCATAGAGTTATAATTATTTTGGCTGGTGTATGCAGTGTAGTACCTTGTTTCCTTTGACGGTAAGCTACTGGTAAGTGATCTAACTTCAGGAGAGATATTATTTTACTGTTTTATTCTTGTAGAAGAAATCCGTACACTGATATATCTACTCGTTCTTCCTGGAAGGCTTTGATAACATCGCCGATTCTAACAAAATCTGTCTTAGATGACTTGCGTTTCCGCATTTTGTTAAATGCGGCAAAGATCTTCTCGCGTATAGTTTCGTTCTCTTTCTTAGCATGATCGATCTCTACTGATGTGACTCCCAAGCTTCGAGCAACGCCTTCCCAGTCACCACGAAGTTCCCCCGAAATGTTATTCAAATGCTTTTCTGTGAGCCTTTTGTTAGGATTTTTTGCCTACGATGAAATAATGAGTAGACAATTGAATCAATTAATTGATTATTTTCTCTCTTCTTTCTTTATCATTTATAATAATAATAATAATAATAATAATAATAATAATAATAATAATAATAATAATAATAATAATAATAATAATAAATTTATTCTTATATAGCGCAAAATGCAATAAAAACCTCTAAGCGCTTTACAATGAAAGGAAAAACCGGATCAAAATAAAGAATAATGATTACAACAGTGAGGGAAATCAGGTTAACATTATGAATGAATATTTATTTATTAATTTATTTATTTATAATACACATTATAATACTGTAAAACTTCAATAGAAACCCAGTAACCCAATGTTCTAATACTGTAGCCCACCTTAAAAGTTGTAACGGGATACTGCTTTAATAGTAGTAACCTAGAGGTGCTATTATTAGAATGCCAAAACTTTAAACAATATTATTAAAATCATACATTTTGCCCAATGGGTTTTAGTGTTTTCTTTTCATTTACAATACAATATACCTGTGTAAATTTGAAAACGTCTGCCATATACTATTTGTTTTAAGTACAGAATGTTTATAGAAAAGAAAACTATATTTATGCAGTTATTCTTGTGAGTTGTCGATACATCAAATATATTTACCGTATGCAGTTATTCTTGTGAGTTGTCGATACATCAAATTCAACTTAATATCAAATTTATGTCGAATAATACCTATGTACAGATGTGACAGGGCCTAATTTTGGGATGAATATTTCTCATTCAAATACTAACCTGTGGTAATTGCTGTTCTTCAGGTACCACATCTCCTCTTCCATCTGGCATAGGTCTGCTATCTGGCTCCTACAGTAATTCAAACGTGATACTCAGTTACATTATATTTATTGAATTAACAAATATCGATGATTATTAATCAATGTCATTCAGGGGCGGATTTAGGGGGGGGGGCAGCCCGGCCCCGGTCCCCCCTTTTGGGAAGTAAAAAAAGAAAAAAAAAAAGGGAAAAAGAAAAAAATAATAGCCCAGAATGTCTCAAATGTTACGTTCGGGCGTCTAGAACACAAAAATTTCGCGGGGGCATGCCCCCGGACCCCCTGCGACAGTGTTGTCTCAACCGGCCCAACTTCCGGCCCCCCCTTTTGGACATTTCTGGATCCGCCCCTGAATGTCATAAGAGTATGCAGCAAAGGATAACTACATTTTTGCCCTAGAATTATGGATTGTTGGTTAATTTTCAGTACGGTCTGGAATCAGATAGACAAGAAAACAGCAACATGCACTAATGTCATCAAGATATATGTCTGTGCTAAATATTCGACGACGACGAAGACGACAAGAATAATAATAATAATCATCATCATCATCCTTATTACCTCTGCAATGAGGTTATATTCTCATTGGATTTTCCTTGTGTTTACAGTATGTGTTTACGTGGGTGTGTTTGTCTGGTTTTTCTTAGCAGCCTCCTGATTACAGTTTTAGCTCTTCATGCGTCAGATTTGTATAGATGATTTCTGACATTGAAAGGAAGGTTAATTTCTATGTTGGCCGACGTTCCGAAGTTGAGTGTGGATTTTGGTGACGATCCAGATTCGGGTGTAAATTATTTTAATGAATTAATTAATTTTTTTTGTGGGGGGGGGGGGGGGGGGGGAAGCTGCGGATTAATGCTAACGTCCCAGACATAAGTATCCCAAAAACTAATCAATGGATCTAAATGCAATTTTCTGGATAATTACATAAAAAAATAATAATTATTATTATTCCAAAATATGAAGAAATATTTAATTAACTGTATTTTTATGCTAAGTTTTAAAGAATTAATGTTTTGATTATTTGTATTTTATATTTATTGGGACCTCTCTGGAAATAAGATTGTTTTACGACATCTTTGTGTATGTTTATTGGAACCAAATAAATTCAAATCAAATCAAGAATTTTGAAGACTCACGTTCATAAAATCTTGAACGTCAATATTCTCGTTACGAGCCAAGGTCTTCGTGACTTCCAAGATTTCAAGTACTGAAGGTCTTTTGTCTCTCTCTTTTTCCCAGCACTTTAGAAGCAGTTGCTGAAGCTCCGTTGGTGTCCTATCATCAAGTGGGTATGTCCAATTATCCATTCGCTTCTTTATCGGAGATTCACAAGTCCACATTTCCCAAATTACAACACCATACGCGTAGATATCTGAGCGCTTTGAAAGTTTTGCATTAGGTTCCAAATTTTCAGGTGCCATCCATGGTTTTGATCCGATAGAGTTCGTTGTGTCAATCGTTTCATCAGTGATACGAGAAATTCCAAAGTCGCAAATTTTTAAGTTATCTTTATTCGTAATCAGAACATTTAGTGATTTTATATCCCGGTGAATTATATCAAGAGAGTGAAGATATTGTATCGCATAAGCACCTTGGCGAGTCCATGTGAGGAATTTCTTCATGTCAACTTTCTGCTGTTGTTCTCTTTTATTACTTAAATAACTATGCAATGAGCCGTTAGCGACATATTCCATGACGATATAATACCCATCATTGTGAATGACCCCAACAACCTTTGTAATAAAATGGTGACCGATGAACAATTCCTTTTGTTTACGGTCTTCTTTAATTTTATACAACGTAGCAAATTCAATTTCTTTAATATTATTAAGCTGTTTAATCGCAACTGGAAAATCGCTTTGACTCTTCCATCTACCCTCATACACAATACCTGATGAGCCTTTCCCAATTTTTATTCCGAATTCGAAGGAATCATATTGTAGTTCTGACAGCCCATATAAATCCATTTTTTTAGCTGCCATTTTCATTAAGTACCGTATCTGTTAAGAAAATAAGACGGTAGTATTCAAATGTCGGATCGAGGCCAGCTTGTCAAAACTCAGTTTGCCGAAGGCCAGACTGCCGAGTTCACTTTGCCGAAACCTAGTTTGCCGAATTGCCGGCTCAAAAACCATGAATTCCAGTTTGCCGAAACCCAGTTCGGTGAACCAAGTTTTCCGAAAACCAGTTTGCTGACTAAGTAAATTAAAAGCAATGAAGCATTAACATCAGCATAAAATTCACGACAGAGCCATTCCAACTCGATGTGATCACTATGTATTCGTATAATAAGGCTTATTGTAGATCAATGATTCTTTAAAATCTAGACTTAAAGGAAGGAAATAAATAAATAATAGGCCTAATCTGCAAACACAAAAACATGCCAACAGAAAGTCTAACATGCCCGACGGGGGGTCTGACAATCAGAGGGCCAAATAGAGCCTCGGTCAAGGCATGAGCGCAGTTCATGTGGACGGGGGAACGTCCACCACATATTTTTAAGGAGGTTGGTTCCCCTCACTTTTCGACCGTAATGTAATTCCATTAAATTAGATGCTTGCCGAAAATCGCTGATATAAATAGGCGTAGCGCCAGCGGGGGGGGGGGGGGGGAAAACGCCCCCCCCCCTGGGGGAAAAAAAAAAGCACAATTCGTCGGGGAGAAAAAATATTATATGTATTTTCTACATATTAGTAGACTCTAAAATCGATTAAATAATTCCTAAATTGCCCTGGACCACTTTCTAAATTGTTTATGGTCTGATTGCCCGACGAGCTCTGTCCGATGGGGGATTGACCTGTCCGATGGGGAGGCTTAATCCCCTGTCGTCCCCCTCCCCCGCTGGCATCGCTCGCTATACTCCTTGCAGGACTAAACTAATTCCTCCATGCAGGAGCTAAGTCACATTTAGGTATAATCTCAATTCATACAATTTATAATAAGGGTATAAAATTTGTTTTGGTCGCGAGGAAAAAAAAGGGCCAATGAACAGTACGAATTTTAAATCAATGGAGGACGTTCCCGACAAGATGGCGTGCATTTCGAAACTTGGAGTATCTTATCTGAGATTAATCAGTAAACCTTTCGGTTTAGTAGACTTTAACTAGCTTATGGAGTCATAGCCATTGATATGCTAGATCCGTCCCTTTTTGCGCCTTGCGTAAAGTTCAGTGGATGTAAGCCTACCTTTTATAAATTATATTTAGCACCCCCTCGTCAAACACTGGCTACACCACTGCTGCAGGGGTCGCATGGATGACGAGTCCTTGGGCAAGACACTTTTTACGTGTGGCTTAAATTTTACTACAAAAAAAATAAAAGAAATACATAAAGAATAAAAGACGAAACATTTACGATCTCTGTTTGAGCACCAAGAAAAAAAAATTCTAAAATTACAAAATAGATTATGCTTACAACATGAACATTTTAAATTTTACTTACATAAAATGGATGCCCTATACAAACACAACTACAGCAACATTCAGTTTGATATATTGTATATTGATATGCTAATGAGATTATTAATACATTTCTATAGCCGTTTGATGATTTTACGGAGAGGTAGCTTTTGTTCATTTCCGGTACGTAAGTACAGTTACTGATGTTGAATAGATCCAGCAAGCTTACTATTCATTCATATATTAAACGCGTCGATATATTATTATAGTAAGCCTACTCAGGATTGAGAGGGAGAAATCATTATTATATATTAATTTGTTACTTTATTTTTATTTTTCATTATTCCAAATCTGGAGTTTGGAATTCGGATGGGGACCCACGGCAGCCATAATACGGCGCCAGTAGGGCCTACCACGTCCCCTGTCTTCCCTCCCTAACTCTCAAGCGAGGCTTATTCGAGGAGTCGAGCGATCGACATGGTGCACTTTGAACCGGCATGGACATTACTTCTCTCGGCAAACGCTCAGCTCAAATATTAAACCATACATTGCCAATATTCAAACAGCCAAATGTATGGAGTAGGCCTAACTACAAATTTTGGGTGGGTGTCTGCAAAACGAAGACCGAAGACCCAAAAACGAAGACCCCTATTTTTCTCTCTCATTTTGATGATGATACGCCAGGTTGTCACAAAATCAAAATTACGATTTTTTTTTGGGCGTCTGTTTGTAAAATTATCAAGGGTCTTCGTTTTATACACACCCTATATGGGTGTCTACAAAAGGAAGACCGAAGACCCGAAAAACGAAGACCCAATTATTTCTCAATTATCTTATTGAAAGTAGTAGTATACGTGGTAGTGAAAAACAGGGCCCCTGTGACCATTTTTCGGGGACCAAGGTTTATCTGCTGATTTGGCATCACTAGGGTATAAATAAAAAAATGAACGGGGTGAGCCTCCAGATAAAGGAGTGATGTTTTTCGGCGGCCATTTTAAAAATGGCCGCCAAAAGATATTGGCTCATGACTTTACATCTACTCCATGAAAAAGGGTAAATCTGGTGTCTAACTATATGTTGTTAGGGTCCCTGAATTCAATGAGACATGTTTCAAAAATCTAGGAAGGCAGCCATTTTGAAATTCAAGATGGCTGCCGTAATAATCGTTGAAAATCAAATATTAAAATAGGCCTATAATTTCACTTCAAGTTGAAAAATGGTAAATTTGATATATTCTCCTATGTTATTGGGCTCTGCAAGTCCAATAAGCATAGTTTCAATAAGCTAGAATAGCAGCCATTCTAAAATTCAAGATGGCCGCCACAAAAATTGTCGAAAATCAAATATTTTGGTATATAATTGCACTTCTCCTCGATAAAAAATGTTAAATTTGGTGTCTAATCATATGTTATTGAGCTCACTGAGTCCAATGAGAATAGTTTCAGAAAGCTAAAATGTCAGCCATTTTGAAATTCAAGATGGCCGTCATAAAAAATCGTCAAATATCAAATATGTTGGTATATACAGTAATTCCACTTCTCGATAAAAATGGTAAATTTGGTATCTAATGACTTGCTATGGGGCAATCTGAGTCCAATTAACATAGTTTTAAAAGAGTGACAACCATACTTTTTTCAATATGTCTGCCATTAATATGTACACATTTTACCTTACAAAATGCAAAAAAATTAAATCTTTAGAAAAGAATACTACAACTTATATTATACAATAAAACATAAGCATTTGTTTGATGAACCTGTCTGTCTATCTGTCTGGAATAAATCACAATTAGGTTCATACGTCATCATTCTCGTCGTCAGAGGACGATTCATCTATTGTTTCATCATCACTCTCATCGCTAGGCCTACTGTCACTATCATTTCGTTCTGGAACTGTAATATCACTGGGTAGGTTTGGCTCAGTACTTCTTTCGGCATAGCACTTTCCATTAATCAGTGATTTTCTCTTCTTGTAGGACTTCCGCCTGGTCACCCTTGCCTCTGTTGTGTTTTTGCTTTTGTTGTCATTGTTTACAAACTTTAAGACAAACTTGGCAAGTTTTTCAAATGTTTAATTTGTCACAGCAATAGATTCTACACAGGATTTCAACAGATTTTTTGCTTCTTTGCTTTCTCGAACATTATTGAAAATCTTTGCCTTTCCATGTCCAAAAAATGCAGAGTTACTGTTCTATTTTCTCTATGCTATAACAACTGGTCATAACATGAAGTTGAATTATGAGTTTTGCCATTTGATGACTACACATATCCTTACAACTGGCAAACACATTTCTTCTGACTTTCTCTATTATGCTTTCGTAAACTTTGTAATGTCCTTATTTCATGTTCCTCAAATATTGTTGAGTATACTTGCCGGAAAAAATGGTTGATGTGGTTAGTACCTGGACGACTGTTATATCCAGCAACTAATGAGAATTACGATTATCAACATGTTTCCAACAAGGCTTACGGTATCTGACTTCGACAGCAAAGTGATATGTTGTTATCTCAGTAAATCTTTCAAGTCTATCTTTCATGATAGGATCTTCTAAAAATTCAACATGAACCTTAAAGCTGTATCACCCATCATTGCTTACCAACAATCTAAGCTTCTTTTATCTTTAATTTTACCTTTAGGATCACCTGGTTTCAAAACACCAAATACTGTACATAGATCTTTATCATGCAATATACCATCACGTCGAAGTCGTTTTGGTTTAGGGGGGTTCATTTGTAACATGACTTGCTGTCGAAGAGTTGCGTTCATGTTTTTGTTGTTGTACTTCTGACGTCTTCTTTCTTTTGACTGCTTGACAATGGTTTTTGCTACTACACAGTGTAATTTCACATGATTTGTGCATGTATTTTTCGGTATTGCCAGCACCTCAATCAACTGTTGTAAACACATTTCCGAACCTGTCAAGATTTCTCCATTTTTCTGAGTGATCTTTAATCTTATTACTTAAGTACTATCTACTTGGTATCATTTGGTCTATGGAATCAATTTCTGTACAAGTGTCACCACATAAAATACTCTAGATGAACAGCACGTGCACCTTTGCGCTTTCCTCTAGTTCCAATATTTAATGTTTCAACCATAGTTACAATCAATCGTAAAATAGCGCCAGAATATCGTAATCTGGTGTAGGGCCTACGTTGTAAAAATGTAAAATGACACGAAATGACTACCATTATCATTATTATCACAACTAATGTGCAAGAAGAATACAAATACTGTACAATAATATTTGTTTAATGACCTCACCACTTCAATGGCTCCAAAGCACAGTTCGGGGAGCCTGTAGCTGTGGTGTAGAGGCTTAGACTGGCGCCTACTAGGGTAATGTAGTACTTAGCTTAGGCCTAGGCTACTGCTTAGCCTGGCCATTTCAAGAGTTGGAGTGTTCTATCTTTACTTTTATATTTATCTTTTATAATTACCTTGAAATTAAAATGAGTGTTAATGAGTGTTAAGTATTATTCACTGTAAAGGTTATCTTCTTTCATATACTTTTTCTTGTCAACATCTAAGCTGTAACTCACCAAAGTTAGCTCCAAAGCAAAATGTGCTCACTGCATTGTAGACCTTCTCTCATTGGCTAGTTCTTAAGTTTCTACTTTTAACCAATCATAGGTGATGTTCTGTTTTTTTTTTACTCAGAAAGTCCAATATGATTAAACACCAAAGTTACCACTTTTGATCGAAAAGTGGAATTATATACCAAATATTTGATTTTTGACAAATAAATGACAATAATATTGTCTAGAATAGTAGCGCTATTATGAGTGATTCGTGTCGGTCTGTGGATTAAGAGTAAAAAAAGAATTATTAAAGAGACAATTAATGAAATCTTTACTATTATTAACAAACTCAAATTTAAGGAGATCAATGTTAAAATCACCTAAATTATAAATTCGTTTGTTTTCTTTGGAAATCCGTTTAGGTAATAAGTCAAATTGCTCGGTAATATAAGAAATGTTAATTATGTGTGGTCGATAAATAGTTCCAACAATTATATTCTTACCTTTGGTTTCAATTTCAATGAGGTGAGAATCAAAAAAATATAGGCTAGCAGACAAGTCTGTTCTTGTTTTGAAAGAAAGACCATTTTTTACATACATAAGAACACCACCACATTTGTACGAACGAGGTTTAAAAGTGATAGAATAATTTGGAATATTAATAAGTGGATTTTCAGATTTCATCCAAATTTCAGATACGGAAATAACATCAAAATTAAAATTTAGTGATTCAAGACAGTTAGTAAATCAAAATTTGTTTGTAGACTTCTGGCGTTGAAATGAATACAGGAAAATTTTCTGCCATAATCAGAGCTAAATTTTTGAGAAAATCCGTAAGGTAAATAATGGTTTGACAAGCTGCTTAGTATAATTAATATACAACTAACTTCGCCACCTGGATTGACTGACGCGTAGCCGCTGGTGTGTTGTCGGCTTCTTTCGACATTTCTGTAATAACGTGGACGAAAATAAAATAGGCTTGTGATATTTCAGTTAATGTTGAACTCAACACAGTACTACAGTTACTTCGGTTGCTTCACTAGGATGTAAGTATTTAAGACAGGAATAACTCGGTGCGGTAGTTACATCAGAGAGATAGCATTCATACCGGAGCGATATCTCGTCCGTCCACGACGAGCGCAGTGTTGAGAAAAAAGATAATTGAGAAATAATTGGAGGTCTTTGTTTTTCCGGTCTTCGGTCTTCGTTATCATCAAAATAAAAGAGAAAAAATAGGGGTCTTCGTTTTTGGGTTTCGGCCGTCGGTCTTCGTTTTATAGACACCCGAACGAACTATTAACTTTTGTCTAAGCTAAAATAGGCCTAGGCCCACTGCCAACTTTATACGGTAGTTTAAGCCTAGGTGCATAGATGTATGCACCTAGATGTATGTACAGTAGTCTCTTTCTCGTAGGCTTTTCTACTATATTGGCATGCACTACCTCAAGCTCTGAATATACTAATAGTAGTAGTAGTAGTAGTACTACTACTACTACCACTACTACCACTACTACTACTACTACTAGGCCTACTACGGTACTAGTTCTACATTGAATTTATCTAGGC